AGGTTCTTGATCGGATTGCAAAGGTTTCACAATAAGCTTTGTCAGATTCCAAACATCTTTTGCTGCGGTCCTCGATCCAACAACGTTCACAATCGCCTCACCCAAAGACCCTTTAACTTTAAATTGGCAGTCTACATGGCCCTTGAACATATTAAATTCGCCTTTTGGGGTTGATGAATAACGGTAACAAATACTTGAACAGAAATGGTAGTCACCTTTTGTCATAACTCGCGGCTCAATACGAATATCGCTGCCGAGGATATGTTTCATGTTTTCATCGTGCCGCAATTTGTAGATTATGCCGTGTGCCTGGGACAACGAATTGGAGAAAGCAAAACTATATGAAAACAAACGGCACGAACAACTGGTGAGGATTCAAGATGCGAAAGTTCCGAATTACGAATTGTTTGAAAGGCAAAAGTAGCACCTAGTCCGCCAAAAAAAATGTATGGCGCATATGGCCGCAGTTTTTGCACTCGTATGGAGAATGACATTGCAAAAAAAGGAAGTTTATTCAAAAATTCGAAAAAGAAAGGGTTCATTTCATGTTGCTCATCATCTGAAAAGCCAAAATAATTAAGTGATTAACACTTGCTTCAAAACATCATGTCTAAATACCTTGGCAAGATCAGCACAGTATCGTTCACCTCGAGTCTTCAGCTTACTATAAGAATCTTGGAATGTTATGGCTTCATTTTCAATCTTTTTGCGCAACGTTGAAATCTGGAACGCGGCAAAGTTGAATCAAAATTAAAAGCAATTTAACAACGATACCTTATCCTCCAATTCCGAGATTCGTGCTTGGTTACTTTCAATTTTTGCCTGATTAATATCGCGGTCTTTCAAACTTGATTCATATTCTGCAGAAAGTTCCCCCATTTTAGCGTCGTTTAAATCCTTTTTGCCTGCTTGCTGTTTTCCTAGCCGAGTTATTTTTTCGGAAATATTTGCCAATTGCCTTTTGAATTGCTTAAAATAATAACATGAAAATACAGAGTTTAACATCAATAAAATCGAGTAATCAATTATAAAAATGCGAAAGAAAAAAAAACCTGCTCTTTGATATTGACATCTCGCAGTTCTTGATTTTTACGCTCTGCGTTTTCTTGTTCTCCAGCAAGTTTATTTGCAGCTGTACTAGCTTTCTTCATTTCGAACTCACATTCCTCCATCAGCTTCGTACAAATCACAAGGTCCTTCAAGGAAATAAACTGTTAGATTTGAATAAATATTCGAAATTCAAACATTTTGCACAGTGCTCATGGCCTCCATTTTACTGAGCAAATCACGATATTGCTTTTCACGAGCAGTCAGGCTTGCTTTTTCACTCAATATAGACGAATTCATTTCCACCAGCGCCTGTTGTAACTTTTCGGGATTTGGGACGATTCGGCCTCGCAAGCGGCTGCAATCTTGTTTGCAATTTGCAAGGAGAAATTGAGTATTATTCTAGAATTTTTTGTTCCAGTTTCAGATTTTGTATTGCGAAAAATAAAAGCCAACCATTTTTTCAATCGTTTCACTCTTAATTTTTTTCAAGTTCTCAATATCGGCTGTCATTGCCGTTTGAATACGTTTCAATTCACGTAATTCAGCAGTAAGAGCGAGATTTTTTTCACGGACACGTTGATATGCAGGTTCTTGCTCAGCACGTTGAAGTCTGTTTCCACAATTAAAACAGGCTCCATTTCGAATTTAAATAATCCCACCGCATAGTATTAACGCGTTCAGCAATATCGTTGTTCTTTTCCAAAAGGTACGTTCGCTTCTCCAGAACTTCGACCTGTGCAAAAAAATGAACGATTTGCAGTTTCTAGTACTGACGAAATACCGATTTTTTCGTGCACTGTTCGAACACAGACACGCGCTCTTCCCTGAACTTAGCGAAGTTGATAATTGCAGACAAAATCTTGCGCACATGGCCGGGTTCCGGTTTGATCAGATCCCGAATGCTGAAATCCGGAACGCCAACCTGCTGTAAGAGTTTGGCAAGCATGCGATAAAAACCCATCAGCGCAATGTCTTCCATGTGCAGATCCGCATTTTCGACAATGTCTGATTCGAGAGCCGACATCAAATGAAAGTTGTTGCTTGCATTGGAGTAGTTACTGCGCGTAACGCCCATAAACTTGTCGGTGAACGATTCGTAAATACATAGCATCTTCTGCGGCGACGGTCGCTCGAGATCTTCTGCACCAAAACTTATATGCATATCTGCCATGCACGCAACAATCTCGCTGGGTTTTAGCAGCGGAAATGAGTATCCCTGCATTGGTGTTTTGTTATTCTGCTGCTTGTCTTTTTTCGCGTTTGTTTGTTTTGCTTTGAAAAAATGGACATGAATTCCTTTTCCCTCAACTTCAGTCCCATCGAACAACTCATCTGTACTATCGCATATTTTGATCCAAGCATTCTTTGCTTTGTTTATTGCTTAAACGAACACACTGTGGGATTCAAGTCTTTTTCTGATACCCACTATCCTGAAATTACATGTGGGAAAACTTCAACAATAACACAGTTAATCACAGCGAAACTCATGCCTCGTGCTCATGAAAAAAAACATTTACAATTTCTAATTATTGCAACAACTGATGCACTTTGGGTGTTAGTTTATTCCTTTCTTGCAATTATTAGGTTTTTAATTTTAATTTTAGATTTAATGTGTTTGACAATTGCGATTTATTTTACGTAAATGTACCGAGTGGTGTAAAATCGATTTGCGTGGGAAGATATTCTTCAAATACGGAACCAGTTGCTTTTGCGGCAATTGGAGATTATCTGATTCAGGTTTTTTGAAACTGGCTCTTTCGATAAATCTGACTAAATTGCAGGGCTACAACTACAAAGGAGAAGAAGTATTTTGGACTATGACAGGAGATGTACCAATATTTTTAGAAGTCATAGAGGGTGGCAATAATGATGATTTGATCCTTTTGATTTCATCTGAGGTTCTGTGATATACCTTTTTGCTCCCATTTCAACAACACCACCATTCATCCAGGACTTCCAACTGCGAATTTTTGAAAATGATAACTTCATCAATGAAGTACAGTTTTCAGATCAAGTTGTCAAAGTATGTTCAGTTTCTAAAACACATTTTGGGTAGGTGAATCAACAAAAAAAGAATAAATTGGATAAAAAAAATTTAAAAATTAGATATTTATTGCGAAATGGGCAATGTGGAATAATTAAATATTCTGGAACTCAAATGCTACCATCAAGAATTTGGAAGAGCAGTCCATCTACAACAGTAACTTCAATTTGTGTTCAAACGCATTTCACATCAAAAAATATTATACTTGTTGGGTATAACAATGGAATAGTGGAAGCACGTAATATAGATGACGGTAAATTGTTTTGGGCAAATAAGTTTGATGGTTCGTCCATTGTCACAATTATTGGGCTAGCAAAAAATCAATATTCTTGCGAAGATCAGAAAAATTCTTATTTTGATTGTGAATCATTCGTATATGTTGTTCTCGGAAGTGGAAACGGTGAGAATATAAATGCTTTCTTTGAATATATTAACTATTTTTGTAAGTCCATACGTTCAGCTCTTTAGGTGGTGAAGGATCAACTCAAATTAACAAAAAAAGTGATTTTGAACTTGAAATTGAAGCCCTTCTTTCAAGAAAAAATGTATTTTTATGTTTATTCAAAATAATAATACTAATACTCAAACAGGAGCTAAAATTTCTTTCCAGCCCGGAATTATATTCTTCAAAATCAAAAGCACTTGAATTTGACTGCAACTTGAGTCAAACGTCCAATGGAATTTACCTTAACATTACTTCAGCTCATTTATCTTTAATAGTTGGGATTGTTGTTGAATATATCGGCTGTGAATGCGAGAACTCAAGCCTGTAAGCACTGGTATAGTTGCAATCAAAACTGATACTTTTTAAATTACCGCAGCGTTCAATCCCCACCAAGACCAACAGCAACTATATTAATCACTCCTCCGCCATTGCAAATTCAAAAACACATTAAACTGAATGTCAAAATTGTTTACGACATATATAATGGCAATTCAAATTTATTTTGCCAACTTGAAAAAAAAAATCCGAGCCATTCTGTGTTTGAATGTCAGATAAATTTCCCTCAGTTTTCAAAATTTGAATACATTGTATCTGATTCTTTCCACCCAAAAAATGAAACTGTTTGCTTGGAGGTAAAGATTGCAAATAAAGCAACAGAACAGAAGGTAATTATTAATTATTTTGTAAGTTGAAAAGGAAGTTATTTTGACTTATAATTGAAACAAAGTTCCATCAATGGCTTGCCGCTGCATTTATATACCCCAGTATTCAGCTTGAGACTGAAACTGAAGTCAAAAAAACTGTAACATTTCTTCACACATCAACTTCAAAGTACTTTAGAATCTCTGCAACAAAAGAAACAATCACATTTCAGTTTTTATCAGCAAGAGCAGAAGTAAATACAACATCTCAAATTTCTATTATGATGTGTGCACTCTCTCAGGTTGTTGCAGATTTTTGTGAGCAAGGGGATCCCAACACATATGCTTGTCTCAACAGAAAACAACTCATAAATGTTCCATCTCAGCTGGATGACAGCATAGATTTTTTTGCTAAAACAACTAGTCAAATTCAGAGTCTCAGAAATGCAGCAGAAGAATCCAAGATAGCATTGGAAAAATTTGCTGATGAAAAATTATTGCGTTCATTGATGGCAAGAACTCAGGCATGTTGGAACATCAGAGATGTGTTAGTTTCAAGTTTGTTTTTTTTTTTTAACTAAAAGATTGGACAGAGAGCATTTTAAATACAGTGCAGTTGTTCTTTGTAATATGCACAAAAAGACATTGCTTGCCCATGCAACATCATTACAATGTGAAAAAGTATTTAATGATGCTGCCATGGATTTGAAAAAAATTATTTGCGCTGTTTCAGATATGAACAGGAGGAATGCGAAAATCACCAATGTGACAATGTGAATAATACCAAACTCTTTACTTCCAAAATTGTTTTTCAAAAAATTGGCTGCAGAGGGGTTCGAACCCTCGACATTCAGCGTGTAAAGCTGACGTGATAACCACTACACTATGCTGCCATGCAACTTGTCATCGAAATTAACTAATTTCATTTAACTTTAACTCGAAATTATTACTATTATATTATTATTTTATTATCATATTATCTTTTATTTTCCTTTATTATTCTTCTATTTG